GAAGAAACAAAACCAAAAATTGTACTAACAACTCCAGCAGAATGGTTAATAGAAATAATATATCAAGTTAGTATCAAAGACTCACAACAAATAGGAAAGTACAAGGAAGCACTTGCTGATTATAATAAATCATTGGAAATCAGTCCTAATAATATAAATACTTTAAACAACCGTGGATCTGCCTATTGTAAGATACATAAATACAAAGAAGCACTTGCAGATTACAATAAATCACTGGAAATAGAACCGAATAATGCAAAAACATTAAACAATCGTGGATTAGCTTATTTCAAAGTTAATAGATATGAAGAAGCACTTGCAGATTTCAATAAATCATTGGAACTAGATCCAAATAATGCAGACACATTATATAATCGTGGATTCACTTATTATACGTTAGGGAGATATGATGAGGCATTTGCGGATTATAATAGATCATCAGAAATAAATAATACTTCTACCACTAACAACACTGCATAAAATATATTCTCTAAAGATCAGGTATTTTATCTATAATATTTTCTATTGCCTTGTAAGAAAAATCTCGCGTATTAATTTATAATCTTACGTTACTAGAATTTATATAAAGCAAGATATTTGTAAAAACATTATTGAGAGATACAAAATCTTCACGGTTAAAACAAATATATTTAATTATTTGAAACATAATAAATTTTATTTTTAATTTGTTAAAAATTTGCTTGTGTATAAATTTTTGTATATATTTATTATATAATTTTTATTAATTAATTTTTAATATGATTGTAATTTAAATTGCTTTAAATTATTTCGCTATTTTATTTTATTTTTTAAACTTTTTAAAATAAAAATTTAATTATTAATACTAAATATAAAAAGCTATATAATTTTATTTGTAGATTACGCAAAAATTAAAACTATATATATAGATATATATATTTGATTAATATTATTACGTATTATTGCTTAATATTTAAATTAATTATATTAATATTATTAAAAAATATATATAAATAAAATTAAATATTATTTTTGTTATAATATTTTTACTTGTTTTTAAAATAGCAAAAATAACTTTAGTATTTTTAATTTAGTTTAACAATATTATATAATTTTTATTTTAATTTTAATAATTTTAAATTGTACAAATCTGTAAATTAATAAATTAGTATATAGTTGTTTTAGTCTAACTATTGCTGTTTTTGTTGTTATATATTTGTTATAGGTTTTTACTTAAAATAACCGGTGGTGACCATCACCGGTGTATAATTAGCTAATAACGATAAATTAAAAAAAGATTTCATTTCATTTACTTTAGGGTTAGGGTAAGGTTTGGGATTTTAGCAAGGTGTTAAATATATGCAAAATTTAGCAAGGAATTTTTTTTGTTAGAATGTTGAAGGTGGTTTCATAGACGAATTCTTGAGATATTGGCATTTTTTTAAAAAAAAAAACTTTA